AAAAAAAAAAGACAGAGTAGAAAACTTACTTCCTAAAAGGTTTAATACTAAATACAGATAAACTCAGACTTTTAAGCTTTCTGAGCCCAGTTCCTTATGGGGGAGGCATGAATCAGTTGACGATAAGTGGGCCTGTCATCTTAGACTATAGGTTATTTTGTCATAGTCTTCACTTTTCCTGTTTCATTCATTTAAGACACCTGCCTAAGCCCTATAGAAATTTGAATTTGCAACCTCAACTCCAAGGAGTGAAATATATAACATATTGACTGTTACATGGAAGTTTCTTCTTTATCCTTCCCTGAATTGCATCTGAGTCCTCTCAGGGTCCCACTCTCACATCTTAAGGAGCCAAATTCCTCTCCCCTTTCTCTACCATCAAAGAGAAGGAACTTGGACAAAAATTGCAGTCCCCACCAGGCTGCTGCACTGGGGTGGTACTACAGTGGGAGAATGAAGGGCCAACTGATCAAGCTGCAGGATTACTACTGGGGATCTGTGTGTATCTGTCTGTCCTTTCTCAGCCTGAGCCTGGGCCAAGGCCAAGATGCCCCAATCTGCCTGTGGAATAGAAGTCAAGGAACAGGCTCTTGGCTTGCCTCGGGCCTAACCCCCTACTACATGGGATAAAGAGAGTCTCAGAGGCTCCCTCATGTTCATCCCTGATCATCTGGAGGTTGATCACCCGTATGGTCTGGCTGGTGTGAGAGAAAGAAGGCCAGGGTGTCCTCCCTGGAGTAGCTCTATCCCAAGACCACACACTACAATGCATGGAGAGCTTATCCTGAGTATCAACACCAGGTCCACAGAAGAGAAGAAGAGAGCAGGGGGGACCCTGGGTCACTGAGCATGACATTAAATACCTTTCTTTACAACCCACAGTTCAGTTGCTTCTGTACAAAGCTCAGGGGGAACTTTGCTGTGAGCATCCTCCTAGGGAATCTCTCTCTTTTTTTTTTTGAGACAGAGTCTCACTACGTCACCCTGGGTAGAGTGACATGGTGTCACTGCTCACAGCAACCTCAAACTCTTAGGCTTAAGTGATTCTTTTGCCTCAGCCTCCCAAATAGCTGGGACGACAGGTACCTGCCACAATGCCCAGCTTTTCCTAGGGAGGCTCTTAAACTTCAGTTTACACCCAGGGTAGAGCTGTCACATTTAGCAAATAAAAACACAGAATGTCCAATAAAATTTAAATTTCATATGAAAAACTATTTTTACATCCACACCAACATCTGTAGT